TATTAATCTATTGTCAACCTTACATTAAAAATTCAAATAAAATTATTACGAATGTCAAAATTTAAAATTGAATCCCAACTTTTTAAAATTCTAACAAAGGGTTTCCTTGGTAAACCCTGTATACCTACTATAGTTGGTGGAGAAGAAGCGTTGGGTTGACGAAATTATATGAAATTTAATTTAATTGAAACATGAACGTTTTAATATAAATGAATGTAATCAAAACACACACAACATGAGGTTTGATTAAGATCTTATCCAATAACGCTGACAAATACATTTAACTCATCCAATGAAGAATCAAGTAAAAAAAAAAAAAAACAAGAATAACATTAGTGCATCCGAATGATAATGATGATATGAATTATAATATAACCCATCTTTGATGAGTGGTGTGAATTTGACTTCTCCTTATTTTTTTACAGATTTTTCCTATTAATATTTATACGTTCTTCCCACACAAGTCATCACTGAGTTTCATTTAGGAAAATATTTACTGTAAGTAATTACCTAAGTTAATATTTTTTGATATATTAGATAAACGAGGATACCGAAATCTTTCTTCCTGGTGACCCTGAAAAGGCCCATGCAAAAAAGGTTGAAAGACAAAATGGTGTGAGTTATCCACCACATCTTATGGAAGATTTCCTACGAATTGCCCAGACGTACGCTGTCAGCCCTTTGAAACCTTTGCCACCGCTTGAAATGATATTAGGAAAATTTTAAATCAAAAAGACCTACTGGAAGGAACCCAGTGATAAATAAAGATCAATTTCATTTCAAAATATAAAGTCATATTACATGTAGTACGCCATGATTAAAAGGTCCTTCATATGTAATAACGATTTGTACCTACACCATTTGCCTAATCTCAATAAAATTATTGTTGCAAGATAAATCTAGATAAATCAGAATGTCTAGAGGCCGCGTGTGCTCGAAATTGGGCAATTTTACAAAACATAAATTAAGAATAAAAAAAGGGGTATTTCATCAGGCCACAGATAATGTTCTACAACTGTATCGCAATGCTTCCTGTAAAGTTAATAATATTATCCAAATACTGGCAGTGTCAGCAGCGTCATCTAATAGTTAAGCTATTTCAACTTATCTAAGGAATCAACGACGCAACATACATAGAATATTTAAACTCTTCCTAGGAAATTTGTCGAAATAATCAACGCGGATTGCGATTTCGAACTTATTTGATTTCATCTCCTTTTTCCTAAATGATAATAAACGATTTGCAAAATTTTTCCATTTCTAGTATTATTTTAGAAAATACAAATTATGATATAAGGAAAGGTTTGTTTATTAAAGAAATTCTATTCTATATATGTATAGATATTAATTAGGTTCATTGGCAGGTGCATTAATTTTCAAAATTATAATTGAAAAACTACTAACATGCAATCTGATTTACAGCGGTGTATGTAACGTTGCATATGCAATTCGAACTATGGAATATCAAATTTTCTATAATAACAAAAACTTGAACAGTTCTATAAATTGTTAAGAAAAACGTTTGTTTCTTATCAAATTTTAGCTCATTCATTTGTATCAACTCAAAAAAGAAAACAAAAGAAATAATAAACTATTTAAATTTCACGCCTTTTAACTTTAGTTTGACAAGATCTTAGCAGGTGTCGCACCGAGTTGAGCATCTATACCAGTCTATATATTCGTAATCTAAAAACTATGAGTTTATCTATTAATAAGATCAATATCTATGGGAAGATAAATGACACTTAAGAAATCGTGTGAACTAGCACCCGATATAAATAATCCTCCGATTTAAACTTCACCAATAAATTGTACGTCATTTGCGGGTTCTAAATATATAAGTACCATAATTGTACGTCCATTGAATGAACATTGTTATTTGTTATATATGGATGCAGTCGCAATAAAAAGTAGAATAGATGAGCCTGTGATGGGTGATTTTATTTTAAGAAGTAAAGACTTCTTAAATCTATTAAATGTGTAAAGCCATTATCAAGTTATTATTTTGACTTACGAACACCTATGGATTAAACGAATGACAATAAAAATTATACACAGATCTGTGAAAATAAATAACCATTGATACAAGAAGTCAATTTATGCTATGGATGAATAGGGTGTGTTCCACTAGACCTACATAGCGTTCAGCACGCCAATTGTGTCTTTACGTTTGTTCGATAACTTATCGACGATAAGGCTATTTCACTACCGACCGCGATTATCTTCTAAATTACTTACTGTAAAAGAAATAGCCATAGATGCAAGATTCAATATTCGACCATATTTACTCTGAAAATTACATAGCATAAAAAATAAAAATTTTACCACGGAAACGTACTATACGGTTAGTTTTATTACCTATAGTAGACTATATTAAGCTGGTTTGTCTCGTTACAGAAAAATTGTTTTGCCCAGAACGTCGATTAATAAACAAACTATAAGGGTATAGGGAGCCTCTAAACGTTTAAACATAATAAAATATAACCCCGATGTACACACGTACTTTCAACAAATGGTACTGGTTAAGATGTAGGGCAATTGTCAAGTAAGTAGTACAGTAGTCTAATAAATCAATGGCTAATGTTCTATACGCAGGATCATTAACTTAGGACGTGGAAGAATACACTAATATTTCTTTTTATTTCATATAAAAGTACCGTTTCTTGGCCGTTGTAATTTTGGAATTTTACTTGCTTATCAGTTTGTGCTTTATTTTATTTTTTATATTATTTATTTAATAGCGTCGTTAATTTGTTCTTGTGTAACTATGTATCTGGTATTTTTCCTTTCATCTGTGTGTAAACTTCATAGAACACACCTTATTTATCCATAGTATAAATTAACGTTATCTCCATCTATGTTTATCTCTATTGATAATAATTTGACAACATACATTGATGGTTTGTTGTCTTTTAAAAGTGATTAAATGATTTAACATTTTGTTCAATTTTGGTGTTTCACGTGCTTTTCAGTGCGTATTTTTAGTTTATTTCATGTATTATTTATTTGTTGGTTTAATTAATTTGTTACTTTGTCCATTTCTACAGCCTAACCGACAAATGAGACCATTGAAGTACAAAGCTACCGTTTTTCCTAAACTTGGTTTCTTCACTATGCAACATTATCTAGTTAATATTTAACTGAGTGAAAGCACCTGAAAGTTTATGTATTTTAACTATCTCTGAAACAAGAATGTATCTGGAATGGTGCAGTCCTTTCTAGATTGATTTGCTTTTCCTATTTGCAGTGTTGAACGCTACATTCTACAGTTGATTAAGGTGAGAATACATCAAAATTAATTAAAAATTGCTCGGTATTAATCTATTGTCAACCTATCTGTTTCAGATCAACAGTGGAGAGGACAAAGAAAACCCTGCACTTATGATTAGAATGCTTTTTTATCTTGTTTTTTGAATGAATTTTTATTGTTCATGTTTTTATTTGCTTTGCATTTATCCTATATCTGGTGAGGGGGCCGCCCCGAACAAGTTCTCTTAACTTTTGAGATGTTAAATTAACCAAAATTAAACATTTATTAACGCTTTCATAATTAATATTCATTTGGACGGATAAGGTGCCCCCTTTTATGCCCCAAACAGAGTGTTTAAAAAGATATGTGATACTTCAGTTATTGTTAATAAATTAAAGATAATTTATAACGTTCAAAAATTGTTAATGTAATTCATTATTTATTAAATATTGTAATGTGAGCTTTTCTGTTAATAAAATTGTTACCCACTAGTTATTTCTGTTCACATGTTTTTGTATTTATGGTAATGATCTTTGAACATATTCTATTTTATGTATAGAACGGGTGATGTGTAATTAAATTATGAAATAAATTTCGCATTAATATTAGTTGCGTTTAATTTATTAAAAAGATAACATTAATTTAATGTAATAGTCATAAATTTTAGTATTACTAGTGCCCTCTTACGATAAGTAGCTAAACTACGCTGAAAAATAGTGGCAAACGTATAGGTGACCTGAGCTAAAATTTCAACTTAATAAAAAACCTTATACGACTTATGCTC